TTAATCACAATAGCAACTGATACCACATTAACACATTTATTTTCAATTCAAACCTTCACATCAACCTAACTAAATGACTCGTCTAATGTACAATATTTTTCCCCCGGATCTATCGCTGTCTGTTTACAGTTATGTAAATGAAAAATAAACATATAAAAAAATTTAGATCTTTCCCCCCCATACGATCGAAGTGCACTCACATATTGTTTCAACCATTGATTAGTTTGTTCACATATTTCAGTGTTCACTCCCTTAAATTCTTCTCTCGTGTTAATATTTCTATCGGTAAGACACATACGGCGTCGATGATTTCTCTGGTGAAATCGGTCAATAAATAAATCCGATCCTTCAATAAACTCGGTGTACTTTGTACGTTTAATGGAGCCTGTATTCAACAGTCGATTTCTGAAGTAGACATAAACCGAGCAAGCATTATCGTAAATAAATATTCGAGGCAAACGATCAATCTTCCCAATCTTCTTCAACATCTGTATCCAATGAAATAATGTCACAAACACTTGCTCACTAAGATTAATCTCCATATAGTCCACAACTACTCCACAGTTATAACTCGTGTACAAAATTCCATATGAAGTTACCTTTCCATTCCGAATTCGCGGATTTCTGTTGACATTGCACTGCTCGATTTCAATTACCTCTTCTTGAACATCGATTGATGTACTATTTGATTGGCATCCGTGACACATACCACCAGATTTCCTATCTTCATCAAAGACTCTGTTCACTCTGCCATAGGGTCTGTTCGGACAGCCGAGTTGGACAAAACCTATAATATACCTTTATTAATATATTTGACATCTCCACATACAATACCTCACCTAACTCTTCACATATTTCGCCACTACGAACATTTGAACATATAAATCTATGCGCTTTTTGGAAACCATCAGTAACGAATGCGCGAGAACAATTCTCTCCACACATACTGTGCTCCTTGTGAGTAGCCCAAAATTGTACGAAATTATCATTCAATTCGCCATAGCTATATACCCAAAAAGCCACTAGTGACAGTAAATAAAACTCTCTTGCCCATGACTTACCAGTTCATCATAAAGTAGTAGTTTTTTTTCTACAGAAAAATTCTAGAAACCTATATTATATAAAATAACCCATTTTTGCCTATTTTTGAGTAAAATTAAAAAATTCATAACCCAGTCAAAATCGATTCAGATCATTGTGAGAATTTCAAGATGTACTTACATAAATGTGAAACTCGACCTGATAATTATATTTAGTTAATTTTACAACCGTTTAATAGTTACTAGAGACTCAAACAGAATTCAAAAGAAGATACTGCGACCGGTTTCGACCTTTCTCAAGGATCTCGTCAAGTGATTTCCTTCGAGAAAGACAGAGTTAAGGTGTGACAAGCAACACAATTCCGTTCACACCGTATGAGGGAGTTACTCTTCCTTATTCTTACCGAACAAAGAACGATAAGTTTCACACGACGAGCAAGGAGCACGATACCACTGTACGTTGCACCTGTTCTGCTTCTCTACAATAAGTATTTCTTTTCATTCTATCAAGAACGGTTCATCCTTTTAAACATAGAAAGAAGAACTAAATATATCAATTACTATGAGTCTGTGTTAGAATTTCTAATAAATCGAATTTTAACTAAAATGTTGATTCAGAAGAAATCACATCCTTCAATCATGCAGCGTTCGAATCCTTCATGATTTTCTGTATGTATACATCAGCAGAGGATCTTTATACAGATGAATATGCTAGGCAGCAAACACCAACGCAATCGGGTTTTGATTATGCAACAGAATACTTGTGGTATACTAAAAGTAGTATACATTCTGGCAGCTTAAAAAAAGCTTCTTCTAATCCCTTTACTCGATTTACTTCTTTTAGTCTTTTATTGCCGTTCTTTACTACTTTTAGTTTTTTACTCATTTTACTCCCTGTACATTTCTGTTTCACGCATATCAGAACTACTACCCTCACTCTCACTTTATAACTAAAACTAGAAAAAGAGTAAAGGGAGTAAACAACTAAAGGATGAGTAGCTGCCTAATTCGAGTTCGAATATAAACGGACATCCGAAAAAAGAAAACTACTAGATTTTTCTAGGAATAGATTTAGTTTTAGATTAACTTTCTGATAATTGAAAAAATAAAAAAATCTTCCGATCCCACCCTCACAGTTAAACATGCGCCCTCACCCTCAAAGGATTTCCTTTTTTTGCAAAAAATGTTTTTTTACTAAAAAGTGTTTTTTTTTCCAAAACTTATTTTTTTACCAAAAATTGTTCTTTTTCTGATTTTTTACTAAACAATAGTAGAAAAATAAAAAAAACAATTTTTTGGCAAAAAAGCACTTCTTGTAAAAAAGTTTTTACTAAGAAACAACTTTTTGGTGAAAAAGAAATCTTTTTAAAAAGGAAATTTTTTAGTAAAAAGAACTTTTTGGTAAATGCTCCCCCGTGTATATGGATTATGTTCATCGTAAACTAAAACAAAGTAAAACTAAATCTATTCCTAACTTTCACGAGTTATTTTCGAATTGATGGCGTGCAGTTGGGTCTCCATTTATATTCGAACTCGAATTAGACAACTCATGTAAAGGATATACTCAGTCATCTATAGATATAACTTTTCCATAACTAGAAAGATCTCGCGACAAACTTTGTGCCTTCTCCCGTCTCCGCAAAAACGCGCTATTCAAACGACTCTGCGTCATTGTAAACCGAGCATGAGATAGCCACCACGACCAATATTTATAAGAGAAGTGCATATGTTCGTTCTCTCCAAGAACAGAAACCGATACGATTAACGTTATTTCGAACAGTGATAGCTAGTCACGAAAATAAATAATTATTAATTCCATGTATAAATGTGACTTATCTCATCTTGATTTTTTTATTTCACTGTTACGTGTTTATTTCATTTTGACCAATCCACTACACACTCACACACTCTAGCTATCCATTTACCAATAGCGTTTTGGTCATTCATTTCAGTTGACTTAGCTATACGAAAAATGGATGTTGATTATAACAAGGATAATTACAGTCATGGTCATAGTGGTTTTCGACCAGGTGCTGGTCGGAAATGAAAGGAAGCGAACACATCAATTCAGGCAATGGCGAGTGATGATCCCGTATTGGAAGGGTCTATAAATAATTTAAAGAATGCAGATAAATATGAGGAAACAGACAAACTAGAAGAAGATGAAGATGATGATGACATCAATATGGATGTGTTGGATGGTACTGATTGAACTTTTATGAAACAAGGACATTTCGAACACTATCTGCACTTATTGACTAGAAAAGTATAGGTGATCAGTAAAGATCTTATTTTCTATTCAAATCAGCTTTTATCTATATTAAATAAATAAGTTTTCAAAACTTATAAAACTATGTCACACGTTTTTAGACCTATATTTTTCCTTTTTTCTCCTGCAAAGTCAATTCGATAGTTAGCTAATATTATCGTACCATTTGATTGTGAATTCAAGATTTCAACTTTCCCAACGGCATCTGTGATGACAACATTATTTTTTATCATTAAGTGCCGGAATCAATGACGTCCTATTGAGTGCTGGACGAAAGTCCACCAATTTTTAGAAGAAGTAGAAATTTTATTATTGATCCTCCGATAATATTCCTTTTTGGCTATTGAACAAGCCTCACTAAATCCCTTGGCTGCCACATTGTATCGCTACTGTGAAAGATATGAATGTTTATGACACACAAAACGATACAATTTGACTTTATTCTGATACAAAAAACGGCGATTATCCGTAAACCAGACTTTATCTCGAGATTTCGGAGTTATTATTTTATGTGGGATGAATTTATGTACTTGTTCGACAAAAATTTCCTCGAGTACCTTCACCTTTTTACTGACATCATCATACGAAGGCAAAAGAGAATAAAATGGAATGTGTGAGAAATTTTCATTAATTAAATCCCAATTGACAAGCTTATAATCATAGATTAATCACTGAATACTCCTCTTGTGAGCTAGTCGAGAACTAAGACAGAACTCGACAAAACTATGATCACTATGAGATAATGCCGGACAGATACATCCACAACAAGTGAAGGAACAGTAGTTATAATCAAGTCAAGGCAAGTTTCTGACTTGGGTCTAGTAACGCCAAATACCATCTGATAAAGATTACGAGAAATGAAATAATTATTCAACTGAACACCTTCATTAGTTGATACTTTGGAGTTTTTACTCCATGGCTGAAAGTGAGCGTTGAAATCCCCAAGAAAGAGAATTTGATCATTTTTATATTTAGTTTGAGAGATACTAGTTAAAACAGAATCCATCCGATCTAGAAATGATTGAATAATAGGATTCAGTTGTCTATAACACATAAATACCAAAACGTGTAGAGAGTCAGAAAGAGTAAGCCTGACACATAGAATTTCAAATGATAAATCTTCAAAGATGGCAACAAGAGTACTGTGAAAATCGCTTCGAGTATATAATATACATTCACCATCGTATCTATTACGATCAAGCCGAAAAGGAGAATGGTAGCAGAAAATATCGATATCAAAATCCTTAATAGTCTGATCTATCCATGTTTCAGTGAGTAAAAGCATAATCGGCTGATTAATCGACACATACGAACGGACGGCATCAATTTGTGGTACTAAACTCCTAATAGTCATACTAGCAATCCTCAAATCAGCTGCCGTTGCCTCATTTATCGCCATAGGGCGTCATTGTTTCGATTACTATTTATTTCATCTCCATCGAGCGACCAAGAAGATAGAAGACAAAGTAGGAAAGAGAAGAGAGTCATGATAAATATTCAAAGAGTAGAATGCAGATGAGTATGTGTTATAGAACGAGAGGAAGCATTCTCACAGCTACGCGTATAACAATTTACTGATAAGACATAGAAGACCGCAGCACAGAGTTAGAAAGGAGAAGAAATATTACGAATAGTATAATAATCAAAATAACTAATAAAGTACTGGGAACATATCATATCTTATGAGTTAATCATTCAGCAACTAATGTCAGTGGTTTGTCAGGATTACGAACAAAAATACGACCGTTTCTAGTAATAACTCGTTTTTTCTCGTTATCTTGAAATCGATCACATGTACGATAGTACAGATTTAAAGCCAATGGTGTTAGATCTTCGACAATAGTGATATTTAGCTTTTTCCCTTTTCGTTGACCAAGAGACGATAATATATGTTGTCGAACGGGTCGAGAATGGAAGCGAACGATAATAGGTCGCGGTTTCGTTTGCTGTTGATTTGCAGTCGGTAGACGATGACAATTTTCAATAACATTCACATTCATCTTGAGATTCATATGCGTATTGAGAAAATCCATCACACGACTTTTAACATTTTCATCTTTGCGCTCTTCGAAACCATAAAAACGTAAATTAAACGATCGATTGTATCGTTGTAAATCCTCGGTTCTTGCTTCAATTTTAGCTATTCGAGCTTCCAACGCACCAAGACGTTCGCCAATCTGTTTAACAATGCCATCGTACATAACATCAACTATTCTATCTGCTGATTGAACGATCGAATCGGGATTAGTTTGAACGATATCAGCCACGGCACGTTGTATCATAAGATCAGATTTTAGAGCTTCAATAAACGTTGTTCTAACATCTTCTGGTCAGAGTTCGGATCTTAAACGCTTTACAGACGGAGGTGCTGTGCTATCTTTCTGAGGTGTAGTACTGGTGAGGAGACTCGCCTGATCCTGTGTAGCCATTATATAAAATAAGTATGTAAATTGACAGTATTTAATGATAGCTGTAAGAATATTTACCCGATCACAAGCGCAAACACATACAACCTTCCGACAATGAAAAATAGAGGAGGACTATTTCGATTAAAATATAAAGTTAGTGCTTTGCTTATCTTATCCCATTGTCTATTGCCACGCTTATATAGAAAATGAAAAGTGACAAGATCAAAACAAGAAAAGACTCAAAGCGGTACATTTGATCTCTATAGTTCAACTATAACTTCTTTTTCTCTTTGCGTTTGTGCTCTAGAATTGCCATTTTAAAGGATTTCTCTTCTGCAACCAAACAACAGAAGTGGACTATAGTAACTCAAAAAACCTAGAAAACTCGTCATACATGTTCTAAAATAGCTTTAAATCATGGAGAATCTGAATAGACGTTTTCGTATCTTTGAAACGATCACTTTTGTTCAACAGCGCTATGCTCAACGAGAGTAAACGCTACTCACTTAGCGCCTTCTATAAAAATAATTATCTTCACAACCGTTGAGATGTCATTGATGAAACTTTCAGAAAATGTTTAACTAATAGTCGTTATTCATTGCCCAAAATTTCAGCTCAATCCGTCTAGCGAAAAAACAGTCGATTTTTTCAACTCTCTCATAATGTTTGTAGTAAACTGCAAAACTAAATTCACTGTTATGTGTCTATATTCTATACAACGATTGAAGTTGTGCAATCGACTCGATGTTACCAATAGTATTTTTTTTTGGTATATTTTTTGTGTTCTGTTTATATATGCTTTATTCTGTCAGAATACAAGAGAAAAGTTCAATAAGGCTACATCTATAACAGCTGTTTGTTCATGAACAACACCTAAAAGTTTCATATTAAATAGGATAACTTGTTTTGGACAATCAGTTTCAATATCTGATAATCTATGACCTCTTGTTTTATACTATCGTTAGGAAAGGCGCCATACTACATGCTAAATTAGATCAAAGCCTGGATGTAATATAAAAATTTATTTGGAACGTTTGCAGTAGTACTAAGAATATGAACAATTTCTTCTAATTGTTCATTGTCGATCGGCGATGTATTTTCAGTATTAGTACAATCTTCTGTTCGTTTTAGTATTGAATCCATATCAGTTAATAGATCAACAATTTCTTCCATTTTCGAAGACCTTGTTTTACATTAGCATATATTCGTAGCAAATTCTACTATAGTAGAAGGAAAGAACTAAAAATTTTACGATAATCATTCTAATGGTTTAACGTGATTCTGAACCTACGAAAGAGATCGAGAACTGCTTATTCCTAATTAGGATCTTTCGAGGAAACTAAGTTTGCTTTTTTTTTAAATAGTTGAGTAATATATCATATCACTACCTATCAGTGTGTCCGGATAAAATTTAATTAATCGATATATTTTTCAAGCGTTTCAGAAAAACATACTCATGACCAATGGAGGGAAACAGGACTTAGTACTCTCTAAAATAAATGGTTGCCTACGATACCTTAAAAGTTTCGTGAATCATTTCTGAACTATTAATAGTTTTGCGCTTGTTTCCTGAACTTCTGAGGTTTCGTAGCAAATATCAGCCAGAAAATGTTATAGAGTGATCGGGCCGGGTCGGGTTTGGGCCGCAAAGTATTTTGGTGGGGTTGGGCCAGGCCGAACTTAAAATTTTTAAGCATGTGTGGATTTGTAATTTATATGTATACTTAGTACAGAGAAAGAGTATTATCACTGTTACGCGACATCTTAAGGACTTCGTTTAGGTAATACTTCGTTGAAAAAGGAAAACTAAGAAATCATAAAGATATAAATATTAGTTTGTGAAATACATTTACACCACTTAGCCAGCAAGAGCATTACAGATGCAAGAAAAAATCAGTGGAATCAGAAAATTTTAAAAATGATGGAGCCGGGCTGAGCCAGAAAAGTTTCAGAATTGGTCGGACCAGATAAATCCACGTTTGGTCGGGCTTGGTCCGGAAACTTTTATCAGCCGGGCCAAAAATTTTCGACCCGTGCTGATCTCTGTTTTGTAGTCAAAAAAGTTTTGTATACAATCTACGTAACCAAGCAAGGTTTTGTATTTACTTTGGGAAATCCAAGAAGGTTTCGGAGATTCATACAAAATCTCTTTAGATACGTATGAAATCTGTTTAGATTTTGTTCAGTAATATTTACTTTATTTTTTTCTGTTCATATACATTGTTGTTATCTATTGCCAGTTGTATGAGTATTTCTCTCATGTTTTTCATATTGAAAAGACGACACAAGGTTACTGTTTTTTGCTATTCAAAGAAAGACAAAAGTACAGCTTTTGTATGTATGTGTCATCTACCATGTTTATCGAACTTTTATCAATAAATACTGATTTTTTGCCACTGACTAGAACCCGCGCAAACGCGTTTCATTGAGTCATTTAATACATGCAGAAAAGTTTTTCCACCAGTTTTTCTTAGAAAAACTCGATAAACATGGTATATGACACATGCATACAAAAACTATACGTTTGTCTTCCTCTGAATAGCTAAAACAGTAGCCTCGTGTCGCCTTTTCAATACGACAAATGAGAGAGAATTTTATCTTTTATCTCTCGAGAGAAAATTCTTTCTTTCACTATATGATGCTTGAGTGAGTCATTCAGATATTCAAGTAATATGCAATAAGCGACAAGTTCTTCTTCTTCGTATGCATGATTATTTGCTTCTTGCTTTGTTTTCTGCTATGATGGGTGAGTAACATAGACAAACTATCATCGTGTTTATAAACAAACTGTTTCTCAACCCAGCTGACGAGGTCCTTGCGCAAGGCCGAAACGCGTACTGAGCAGCTCGTTTTTTTCCTTCTTTGTTTTCATATACTCACAGCCAACTACCAGCTGCCTTCCCGCCGACACACGCACATATATCCGCATTTTTTGTCACATTTCTGACTTACAGAACTCTTTACAATTAACTCCATATTAGAACTACAAAGCGCGAGAATTTTATCTTTATGCTCACTTTCAGTCAAAGGTTAGTGAATCTTGGATGAACGCTACTCGTTAGTAGTGGAAACATTTTTAGCGAGCAGTTTTCATCAGAATGATAGTCCTTAAATGACCTGAACCTGTGCTTCAGTGCTCAAAAAATTAGGAAAAAGATGATCCGTGTTACCTAGTCAATCTTTTATTGGTACAAAGTAATACATGTAGGTAAGGGATATATTCAGCAGAATATATCGATTAGTTTGGTTATTTTCCTCAACATTGCCAAAAAAAGATAGGTGCTCTTCCATTTGTAGAATGGAAACTTTTATAAGTGATGTGAAATACGGTTGAGAAGTGAATGTTGTATACTCCTTCGTTTTGAGGAGAATACTTTAATCAAAATCTCTTCAAAACACTTTGTACGTTGTGATCTTTCAGCGAAAAAGAAGATATATGTCCCTTTGACCTCTATAGTTGAACAGTGTGACTGTCGTCTTCAAGTTTTCTTTGGCTGTAATAAACTGATTGTAACTTGGGCTCAGTCTTTTATTGGGAATTACTGCCGATTATAGATACGTGATTTAAAAAATGAGTACTGTAAATAGATTCCTTCCTGTATTCATTTCTTCTTTACCTACAAGGCGATTTTATCTTATTTTGGTTCTTAACCCGCGCCACCAAATCTTTTTTTACAATAAAAGAATCACAAGTTTGCTACGAAATCTTCAACTAAACCGTTAAAGGTTTCGGTTTCGTTGCAGTAGTATAACCTTTAAAGGTTTGGTAGAGAACTATATTTTTTTAGAGAGTATGGCAATGAAACATGCATATTTTTCGGCTAAGCGGTTTGAATCCGGTAGAAAAAATGTATGTTTCGACCGAGAATGGTACTGAATTTCTTTTCAAGTCTTTATCTATCAGATTCATTCTCTCAGTGACGAAAGTAAGTATGCTCCAAATAAGGCAAGAGATGTATCGCCGTAGCAGATTAATTAATTCCTGACACAGTTTCCTAATAGAATACATATCTACGATCACATCGTCACGTTATTGGCATTGAATTTCTTATCTTTTTCATCCGCTTAATCATTTAAGTATCTACTGAAATGCTTTTTTCTGATATATTTACGACGTAATGGTGACTAATATTCATGTATGTATTTCACAAACGCGCTTTTACTTCAGATTTATATTGTGCTATAATATCGTGATTGGTTATGTGGATGAGAAAAATAATTGACAGAAAGAAAACGAAAAATAATCATAAAAGACAAGAAAAACATAATTGAGCCTGCAATTAAAAAAGATATTTATTACACGCCCTCTCATGCATAAAATAGTGCATATAGCTTGAATTCGGAATGAAACCGAAGCAATTCTTGTGTTGCTCGCATACCATACGTATTTAGTATTCACTCACACTAAACTCTGAACTGGCAGAGACCCAAGGGATATTACTGCAATGTGGATCTGCAAATTTCTGTACAGGTCTATTGCAAATCTCTATTGCACTATTATATATGTGTCATCACTATCATATAGGTATGAACTTGTAGCGCGAAAAATTCTCTATCGAGTGGTATATCTATCGTAGTGGCTAGATGATAAAGGGTGACATAGATTATCTTAGACTGTTTGCACATAGGAGATTATTTTCCATAGGCGGAAGTATTTCTAAACATACTTGGTCTCAGAACGAGTATTTCCGTATATGTGATATACAGAAATATAGCGCAGAAAAACAGCTTTCGAATGACATATGATAGTTCTACTGAGGTATGAGATCGAAAGAGACACACTCGAGAATATGAGCAATAATAAGTGTTAGAAGTGATTACAGTTAATTGGACCCAATTTTTTCTAAGAGTATTTCTAAGGTCTGCCGAGTGGCTAGAAATGTTCTCCTGTTCATTCTGCATCTAACCATGTATGTATCGATGGAATTCAAGCAGGGGCCGATTCCATCAGATAATCGCCCCCATCCTTTCTGTACAGGTCTATTGCACATCTTTACTGCAGACAAGATTTGTAAAAGAAATTCTGCAGAATCTTTAGATTTCGCTTGAATATTTTGCCAGATTCAGCAACGAATTTGTAATTTCTTTCATATTTTTCAGTTCACATTTTGACTACTCTAACAAAAGTTTCGAAAGCCGTTTATATCGTCGTTTATATCGCTTATAATTTGATTTTCGTAAACGTTACGTTTTCTGCAGCAAATAGATCTGTATGCTGAAAATGTATAATGATATCATTTTCTTGAACAGAAATTCTCGAATGAAAAAACTTTAAATTGAACTGTCTGACTTGAGATAAATCTTGAACAGATTTTCTTAGTGATGAACCGAAATACTACGAAACGAAAAACGAACAAATTGCGTAGTTTCCTGTTCTTTTCGGTACGGCTATACGATTAAGTCTTTTCTTTCGTTCATGACTGAGGTGGAATATACGTTGTTTCGTGATTTCATACAGAAAATTATGTACTGCTTTGGCTATAGTCGTCAGCTAATTTGTTTTTCCTTCTTTCGTTTCTTACGTACATCTTTCGGCCCATTACTAGATTTTCTTACTCAGTGATTTGTTTTCTGAGAATTTCGTATTTTTGTATATTTGTATGTGGTAAACAGTATGTCTATGTGTGTGAAAGTCTCCATTTGATGCATATATCAATGTTTTACTCTTCTGTTGTGATGTGGTTTGCTGTTTTAATGATACAACTTACTTTCTTCCTCTTTTCTTCTATTAGGTAAGAATAAACGGCTCTCGTATGAATAAATCATCAAAAACTATCGTCCATGCTTTGGAGAAGAAAAGAAAATATATAAGCGATAGTCGCTTATCGGCAAGGAAATATATACGATAGACGAAAGAAAATAATGCGTCACTAAACGATGCGTCAGTTTCAGAATAGAACGAAAAAAATTATCGAAACAGGTTGATCTCAAACACTATGTATTCTACACACATTTTTTGTATCTTTTTGATTTCTTTTCCTTACACTCTTTTTCTTTGATTTATACCATGTTTTAATTCTTCTTGCATAATAATTAAATGATACATTAGAAAAACACCTTTTCGACAAAAGGACAGACTATACGCTCCGTAAAAGAGAACTAACAGTCTTGCTAATTTGACTAAACTCTTCACTATCAACACGATCTCAAACATTTTGCAGAAGAAATTCATACGCCATATAAAAATTGTTTCGAAAATCTAAAAATAACTAATTTTTCTAAAGGAAAATAGCTCTAGGAAATCCATTGAGAACTTGGGGTTGCACATTACTAGTTACTTGGCGTTACTTTACCTGGTAAAGTAAAGAGGTTACATAGTCGTTATTAGTAAAGAAGTAAGTTTTCAGTTACTTTGTTACCAGTAACGAGTAATTTCGTTAATCTTCAGAAAGTAACCAAGTAACTAAATCAGTTATGCGTAACTAATCGGTAACGAGTAACTAATTTAGTTATTAATTATGAGCAAAGTAAAGGTAAAGAGCCATCCCAACTGAAAACACATAGATTGTATCGAAGCGTAAGTCAGATACTTGGGTTTATATATAACTTTGTACGGAGAACCGAATAGGTTGTAAATTAAAAAGAAAGTTATTTTTGGCATGTTATGGCCATCCTCGATGCCTCTGAGGAACATTTCTTAATTTACTCGTTCATAGTGCATTTTTTTATTGCTTTTTATTAATGACTCATAACTGTTTTTTCTAACAAAACCATCCTTTTGACAAATAAATATTGAGAATACCCATAAATTTTGAAAGAAAAGTGAAACGTGCACTGCACATTAGTCATGATGTTCTCTTACATATCTCTTGAGCAAGAATCCTGTAAAGATATGCACAGCCATATTTTTATAACTAATGTTTCATTCTTCTCTTCTTGTTAACCAGTGACAGTGTTTCTTGTGTACACGAAAACAGTATTTTCTGCGTGTCTCATTTGAGTATGATCAGTATATATATTTCACAACTAGCCAAAAAATATATTCGTCATTGATGCCATTACCAGAAACACTCGTCACTATCTGCAGTTATGACTAACCAGTTGTATATCACTTCTCTCTCTTATTATGAGAGTATAAATAAAGCAACAAATTTTTTTGCTCTAACTGTATATCATAGACAATACTTTTTAGATCAAACAACAAAGTAAAAATGGATTTTGGTTCAAAATACGTATATGCATATAATCGCAGCTCGTCAGAGGAGATGAGCGATTCTGATGACGAAGATTGTCATGTTGATGAGGTCAATTTTGTCAAGCCGAAGCCAAGTTTCGTCGAAATGCGTCTATCAAATCTCAGCGAAGTTAAGGACGCTGTGACGGTTGAGTCGAACAGACCAGAAAGCATAGCTGCTTCATCAGATCGAAGCAGTAAACGTACAGTAAAACAGAAACGGAAACTGCGAAAAGCTGACACAAACATTGTTAGTGTTCAATTCAATCGACTACTGGAATCAACCGAAATGCATGCAGGAGACGTCATCAAATGCAATGAGTGCGGTGTAATTGCTTCGCATTTGAGCAAAATCAAGCAGGCTGAGCCTCAGCAACAATCAGATGCCGATAATGAGAGCGGAGAACAGTTACCACAATCATTATGGGAGTGTGAGTTTTGCAAGCACGCCAATGCAACCGATATTGAACAAACGGATTTGCCAAAACAAGAAGATGTCACCTATCTTGTTGCGCCTGCACCAGCTGTACATGGTGCCGATATGACTGGTGTTGATAATTCAATTGTCATATTTGTCATCGACATCTCCGGATCAATGTCGACAACAACTCTCATTAATGGGACATTTCAAATGCCGAATGCTCTTAATAAACAGCAACGAATGACTGAGAATTTTGGTGGTGCACGCATGATTCGTCAACATAATCAAACATACGTCACTCGTCTCCAAGGCGTTCAAATGGCTGTTGATTCCAATCTTGAGAAGCTTATGAAAGAACACCCGACGAGACGTGCAGTTTTACTAACATTTAATTATGAATTAACATATTACGGTAAGTCAGTTATTAGTGGCTGAAAACGGTATCCTGAATAATGTTTCGTTAATTCAGGTGATGGATCAAAAGAGCCGCTGGTTATTCGCGGAGACAAATTGAATTCAAAAGAAGAGCTGATTCGAGAAGCCGAACAAGAGAATAACCATGAATTGAAACCAATTATCGAAACGAAGAAGAAGTTGGTTGATCGTATCTACGATCTTGAAGAAGGCGGTCAAACAGCACTCGGTCCTGCCGTCATGTTTGCTCTTTACATTGCATCAAAACGTCAAGGATCAAAAATTGTCCTCTGCACAGATGGTATTTTCTTCGACTAGAATTAAATAATTAGTTACAACGGCTTTTGTGTTTTTTTCAGGTTTGGCGAATCGAGGCATTGGAAGTTTAGAAGTTGCAAATGACGAAACATCAGACGAGATTGAGAAAGAGCGATCAATCGAGGAGGGAAATCAGTTTTACGGTCAAATAACGGATCTGGCGAGAGATAAAGGCATTTCAATATCCGTAATCACAATCAAAGGTGTGTAGTTGCTTGAGTAAAAGAGTGAGTCCAGCTAACATATAAATATTTATTTGAAGGTACAACATGTCTGTTACCCATAATCGGTCAGATGGCTGATGGCAGCGGTGGTCAAGTGACAGTCGTTGATCTTATGAATATTCGCGATGAATTTGCAACGATTCTCGAACAACAAGTCATCGCATCGAACGTTCAAGCCACGCTCATCGTTCATCGCGGACTTTATATTCGTAATCCGGAAAATAATGAGGAAAAACTGAACAAAAGTGAACGTGATATTGGAAATGTGACCAAGGAAACAGAAATAACGTTCGAATTTGGTGTTCGAAATAAACAAGGTAGACACTAATCAAATACGTCAAGCGGTTTATACTCAGAATGTCTATTTATTTCATGTGATGAGAATGTCATCGTCTAAACTGCTCCCCGAAAGCACTGGCTAAACGACTTTAAGCTAAAAGCGTTCTCTAAAATAGATGAAATTTTTCACTGCCAATTAATCAGTTAAGTGAAACAGCAGTCTCTTGTCAGATCATTCTGCGTGGTGTCAAATGAAGAGACTGTGCTTATTCTACGCTAAGCTCGTAGATGCTAATTAGTTCATTTTCACCCTCGCATTAGCGATGCCGTTTTCCTATTCAATAAGCTTTATATATTAAAAGCTTAAACTTTTGTTCTCCACTAAGCGATTGAGTTTTTAGATGAAACTGGAAAATTAAATCAATATCATTTATTGCTGTTTTTATTTAGAATTAAAAGCTTTACATGGCATCGACTTTAATCAGTTAAAGCAATTCCCGTTTCAACTACAAGTATTATACACAGCTGCCGATGGCACCAAAGCACTTCGCGTATTAACACAATTGAAAGAGGCAACCGAAAATCGTGAAATTGCTGAACAGAATGCCGTTCGATCAGTAATTGCAGAGAATCATATTCGTTCGACTGCACATAATATGATGAATATTGACGACGACGACGACGATATGGATTATCGTGGTAAAACACGGTATGCTTCGAACGTTTTTCAGAAACAACAGCAAAAATATATTACAAATTTAAATAAGCGAGTAAAGGACGGGAACGCTGATGAATTTAACACAGGGTATGGTTGATCTTTTCCATTGAGTGAGAGTGGCTTGAACTATCATTTTTATTTATTTAGACGTTGGGATAAAGCCTCGAAGGAACTTCATTCTCATGTCAAACAAGCAAAATCTCATAAAAGAATGAATAATCGAGGACGGCAGGAACACGAATATACAGGTGCTAAAGTACCGATAGTTTCCACTAGTCGTGATGGTGATACCTCTACCACAGCTTTTTCATCAGCTTCAATGGTTTCTAGCAAACAATCTGAAGCACCATCTAAGCCACGCTCGTACGGTTTTACGGCAAAAAACGCGCGTGTCTTCAGCGATATTGGTTCGTCGAAAATGTATCAATACAAACAAATGAACACAAATTTTCTTCGTTCATCGAGTCCACCATCTGGTTTGAGAAACGAATCAGAAGAAGAAAAGCCACAGAAGAAGAAAACTAACATTCAAGAAGAGGAGGATGAGGATGACGATGAGGATGAATGGGAAGAAAGAAAAAAGGATGCCAAACGAAAATAAATCAGACAGTTATTCATTCGACGATAATACAAACTAACAGTGGACATAATTGTGTTTCTCTTTCTCATTTGTTCATTTATAAATGACATTTTTTGTTTTCTCTCTCTGAAAAACGACTAGGTAATGCTGAGAGAACAACACTACATCTTGTTGATGTTTGAAAATAAAACATATAGAGGAAGTAGTTACATGAGACGGTTGTAATATTAATAAATACCTCTTCTGATGTATCAGAAAGAGAACTGCTTAAAAAGGGCTGTCCATACGAACGTCCAGTAGCGCGAAGAGAGTTCAGTTTCGCTTCCAAATGGTGCTTCATATAGAGTCGAAATAGATTTGGCTGAAGTTTTTTCCAGACGAGTTGAAGAAAAATCTTTTTTGCAAGTTACTTATAAGCATTAGGTATGCCACGGTTACGGTTATTAACCATTAACCGTAACCGCAAATAACCGCTTTGTAACAACTTAGTGTATACTTAACTTTTAGTTCGTTGATATCGGTTTACATTAGAAGTAGACAAGGATGGTCTTTGTTCTGACGTTATAGTGCATCTACTAATAAATTTATGAAAATTCTAGGAAATATGTAATTGACTATGAGGAATCTGAAAATGAGTATGAGAGACCTCCAGGATGTATTCTATTAGTTAAAAACCTACTTCTGGAGAGACAGGCACTGCTTGTTCGCTTCTCGTGAAGTTTTCGGTCAAAGACTTGTTTCGTACAACAGGAGGCGCGGGCGGTAGATAGTGAGAGTGAGTTATGGAAGCCCGAAATTCTAGGTCCGTAACGAAATCTCGTAAGAAACACGTTCTTGTGTCGACGTGCGATTACTGCACTCGTACGTTCATTGGTATTTTCCGACCCCGCATAGTCGAGTATCTATTCTGTTTCATTTCCATCAGGTCGAAAGTAGGTTTCTGACCAATGGAATATGTGCTAGAGGTCTATCATACTCATTTTCGGATTCTTCATAGCCGATTACATATTTCCTAGAATTTTCATAAATTTATTAGTAGATGCACTATAACGTCAGGACAAAGACCACCTTTGTCTACTTCTAATGTAAACCGCTATCAACGAACTAGGGGATGCCGTCACATTGTTCATCGCTTTAAGTGCTTTCTCTATTTGATAGATTTATTCACAGAAACAAAGAAAGAAAAGTAAGAAACAATAGAGAGTGAATCAGAGATTTTTTTCCTAAAATGGAAGAAGAGAACAGAAAAGAACGCTATAACGTTGATATATGAGATATACGATAGATATTGCTTCTAAGTTTGAAATTTTTTTTTGCTTTTGATCCAAATGTTCGCTGCACTCACTATAAAATTACTCTGTATTCTGTGGACTGTAAATTCTAGAATACTATTCGAATCACAGAAACAGGTAACTTTATATATATGCGGTAAACAACAAGCATTCAATCAGTCTTATCATAGAAGAAATATTTGACAGAAAGAATTTTGTGATCAAATCAATGTTTTTTGTGGCGTATATCACTATGAAATCAAACAGGCACAAATAAATTGTCATCTTGTTGAATGTAAACGGAAAACAACTAACAGCGGTTAAAAATACTTTCATGAAACTAATGGAAAAGAATGAAAATGAAATCATGGCAGTTTTGTATCAAACAACGCAAAAATTATAAGAAAAAACCGAAATATTAAACTTTGATAAAATAAATCCAATGCTTACAATTGCGAATGAAACTAAAAGTAATATAAACGATTTCAACAGCGCTTACAGTAATCCCATGCCGACATTTCTAGAAATTATTTCACAAAAAATTACAAAAATTCAGGTCCGTTATTTTGCAAAAACTTGTAGTAAAATTTTCGTGTCTCACGCAACAGCACACGTATAAATTTCTACTGCGTTTTTCTGCAGAAACAAAAAATTTTCCGATAAAACGCAAGAAAATATTATCGTTTTTATGCAGAGTTGGATGACTCGTCGATGAGTCATCGTTTTTTTTCATTGTTAAACCAAAAATGTTTTTGCGAAAATTTTATTGAAAAACACACGCCGTATAACGTCAAAAAAAGGATTCTATGATAAAAGACAAAAAGCTATCGTTTTCTTGTTGATTTTTGCAGGGTAAAAATACATCGCAAGAAACGCATACAGAAATCGTTAAAAAAATTTGATATGGAATTAATGCTTACTGTTCAACTAGCTCATGTTAATGATTTGAGCTCGAAAGCGTAAAGGATTGCCGAGTTATTGCGTGAGAACGGATAAAATGGGGCTCTTAGCAAAAATGCTGAAGGTTTTTTGTTTCGGGGAGCTGCGGGAGTTCTCAAATGAAAGTAGCTTGATATACATAGCCATAAAGGGTGGGCCAGAAGTTCTGACTCGATTTGAATAATAAATTTTTCTATAGTAAAACAAGTGGTTGTAAATTTGTCTCTATGAAGAAAAGATGCAGTAAAAAAACGCTCTACAAAATGACGATTGATCGACCCCGTGAGCTCATCTAGT